GGTGTGATTATGATAGGCAACATCATCGTCTAGTTTTTATTTATTTATATCGTATGATCGAAAAAACGGCGTAGCGATAGCTATGAAATGAAGATTGCTGGCATTTTATATGTAAAATTTATGGGGAATGTTATCGATTGTCATTTCCAAGCCAACTGGACGCCGTTTTTTATTTCGATCAGTAGTGGCGATTTTAACGTCTGTGCAATCGGGGTAAGTCACCGACGGGCCCCAAGCCTCCCGGGCCCTTGCGAACAAGATTCGAACTTTTCCGAACTACGGGCCCCTAGAGCTCTTAAAATCGCGGCTGTACGGTACTATACTGATGTCTTAGTTTGATAGATGTTGCTATATTTTTTTAGTCTATTCAGAAGAATTTGAGTGTTTCTAAGTACCAAGCACTTTGCTATAAATATCTTAAAGAGTCTGTTCATTTTCACAGAGTGGTGGCCCATGGTAAAAACTTAATGTTATATTCAATTCAAAGTCGAAACTGTCAAAAAAATCTTTATTAGTGACCGGTTTCGGCTATTTAGCCATCATCAGACCTTAAAAATAGATATAAATAATAAAACTTATATGAATGTATAAGATCAAATAAAAGATTTAGGATATACAACAAAACACAGATACAAAATTAACTAACAAATAAACATACTAACAAGTTAAAAATTACCTTTGTCAAAAACATCTGTTTGTGATTAATATATAATACATAAATATCTTATTTAGATTCATGAAAGAAAAAGCGAACGCTGCTACGTTTCCCGTTCCCAAACTCCCAACAGCTCCAGTACACAGAATATACTCAATATACTATGCTCCAGTCGACTGCGACCTGCGACGACTGTGACTGGAACAGTCTGACCGGGCGACGGGGCTAGGAGCATTTTCAGAATTTACACTATTGCCTGCTATTGCTCCTATTGCTACTCACGAGCGCAGATGTCCTAAACTTGTAAACTGCTCCGAAATGTCACTGCGATTTTCTTGGAACTGGAGCAGTCACATACTGCGACGTTGGTGGAGCTGTGACAAAGTAGCGGACTGCGATTTCACAACCCACCTCTATTTATTACCTTGTAGTACGCGTCGCACGTGTGCGGTAAAGCTTTGTTGCCGCTATGTCCCCGGCTGTATTAACGCATTTTTTAGCTTGTAGTCCTTAAGTGTTTATTTTATTGACATTTTCTGTTCAAGAACTATAAAATATGGTTCGCCAGTACCAAATTTGCAAGAAATTTGACTTAAAATAATCCATTTAAGTCTTGAAACCACTTTCGACCGGTAGGCAACTCTCAATTTACCCATTGGGAGTCAGTGGCGTTATTGTAGAAAGGCGCTTATTTAGATAATATTTTAGTAAAATGGAAAATCTGAATTTTTTCTCTTACATTACATTATTTACTTACTTACATTGTAACAAAATCATAATTATAACCCTTTTAATAATTAATAATGTTTTTATTAAAAATATATTCCGGTTTATTCTAAAATTATCTTCAGAATCTAAAATAACATACAAGAATTTTAAAATGATATTACATTATGAAACAATATTTTGTAATATACCGGGTCGTCTCAAAAGTGGCTCACCCCCTATAACTTTTTTATTTTTTCAGATAAAAAAAACAGATTTGTATGTTAGTAGGTATATGACATAAATTAGGATTTATTGACGTATTCAATTGTTTTGGTCTCTTCCTTTTTTTCATCGAAATGATTACATCTTTTGATTTTTAAAGGCACCCTCGGTATATTGCTACTTTATTCGATAAAATATGACACTCTGAATAGAATGACATATCATATGCCAACTTTGACATTGTCGCTTAAAACAAATCGTATTTTAAATTTCAATCCAGGGTGCCATGGTGTTGTTAAAAACACTAAGTTTTAATCAAGGAGCCTTGGAAAAATAGTTTTGATCGTCTAATAGGTTTCGTGTCTTGTATAGGCCGGTTAAAAGATGTACAAATCGTATTTTTAATCATACATATGTCAATTTTTTCAAATGGAACAAGGGTGACTCATTAGCATATTTGGAAAAAGCATTTTTTTACGAATATATTGATACCACACACTTGGTATTTAGAGTCAAATTGTCGTTATGAACCGCGTGTTACAATTACAATTAAATCATATGCGAAAATGTCAAAAGTTGACATATGATATGTCATTCTATTCAGAGTGTCATTTTCTATCGAATAAAGTAGAAATATACCGAGGGTGCCGTTTAAAAATTAAAAGTTATAGTCATTTCCGGTGAAACAGGAAGTGACCAAAAACAATTGAATGCGTCAATCAATCCTAATTTATTTCATATACTAACATACTAAATCTTGTTTTTTTATTTGAAAATATAAAAGAATTATGGGGGATGAGCCACTTTTGGGAAGCACCCGGTATAATAAAGACAGTACCGAGTTAAATAAATGTAGTTTTTATTTTATCCACTTCCTATCACCTTCCTTGCTTTAATGGAACAGATTCATGTTTTCTCTCCCTGTCGCCGATTCTATTATATCTGTGGAATAGATCCTGTTTTGATTAATATTAGGGGTTCTAAATGTTTGACTAAAATTAATAATTTATTATTAATTTCAAAAATTACGTAATTTCGATTATAAAATTTCATCTATAACGCGTATTTTATTATTTTTATCCTTTTAACTCTGTGTCTAAATTGTTTTTTCTAAACTTTTATTTAAAAAACCTGTCCTAAATCTTAATAAAATATAAAAAAGTTTAAATACGATATATTTTTAATTTAATTATAGCTTCATTAAAATAAAAAAATTACCCGGCTATGATACGGAGAGTTCAGGTGTACTTGAGAAACGAAAGACAGTGTTGTGTTTCTCGGCAGAGTCGTCAGGGAACGACCGTTACGACAGAGACAACCTATCTATCGCTCGTGTCGCACTCGTTATAACCTAAAACAATAACACAACAATAACAAGACGGTGTCTGACCGCATGTTCCAGCTATTTATGAATGAGATGCTCAGTCTATATTTTATTTTAAGTCTATGACCACAAATATGCCACAAATCATCCGTGTAGCGCGCATGGCGATGCGCATGGCGCGCCTTCTGTTTTGACCGGTTTTGACGTTTCTACCTAACCTTTATTTATTTTCGATTTCGGTGTTTATTTTATATTTTGTGTTTGAAATTAACTGACTATTACCATAAATTCACGTCTATCTGAAAAAATCATAACTAATGAAAAACACCCTCCAAATAACCCAATAACCCATGATACAAAGAATACAAGGTATGATATTGCGCAGGTTGGTCACTACGTCACAGGTGATAAACGGCACCATTGGTCGGCAAGCTCTGCGCGCCAATTTCAAATTGCCAAACAGATGACATAATAAATGTGAAAATAATTTTTCAAGTGTCATGGTGGGTTCATACAGCCAAATAAAATAAAATAAGAATAAAATAAAATAAAATAAGAAAGTTGGTTATATGGGATACCGTACATGCGTTCATACAGCCAAATAAAATAAGAAGTCTTTATCTTTTAACTTCTTGTTTTATTTTATGTGAAAACGGCTTTGCGCACGCTTAATTCTAACCTACAAATATTTTCAGTTTGGATTTAATTTATTTTATAATTTCACATAAGTAAAATGTATAATATAGTAGGCAACGAATAAATAAATATACTATAAATAGTAAAATTACTATAAACAATCGTAAAAGTTAACTTTTTATCCAGCCTCATCGTACTGCGCATGAGCAAATATATATTTCTTATTTTATTTTATTTGACTGTATGAACGCACACAAATAAGAATTTCTTATTTCTTATTTTATTTTATTCTTATTTTATTTTATTTGGCTGTATGAACCCACCATCAAGCTCGATGATTTGACATAACTTTTGGGGTTATGTCCTAATTCTTCCCTATTTTACTCTATTTTAGGTCTTTTTTTATTAGTGGCAATTGGAAAATATGAATATTTTTTTGTATGGCGTATGACGTCACAGGTGATATGCGCAAAATTAACGAAATTGGAGCCGCTATCGACCATACCTTGTTTTCTTTGTACCATGCAAATAACCACGCATATGTAACTGTTGTATTGATCAGGAGTAAGTATACAGGTAGGAATGGCCTGCATTTGTAAGGGAAATTTGATAAATAATTTTAAAAAACTATCTAGTTCATCAATTATAATACGATAAGTACACTAAAACTTTAAAAAATATAGAATATCGTGTAGTCTTTTTTACTAAAACTGTCCTATAATCCACTCAAATGCACTTAATACACGGAAAACAATGTAAAATTATTTGTAAACAAGCTGAAAACTGCTGAGTACCATGATACAAAGAATACAAGGTATGATATTGCGCAGGTTGGTCACTACGTCACAGGTGATAAACGGCACCATTGGTCGGCAAGCTCTGCGCGCCAATTTCAAATTGTCAAACAGATGACATAATAAATGTGAAAATAATTTTTCAAGTGTCAAGCTCGATGATTTGACATAACTTTTGGGGTTATGTCCTAATTCTTCCCTATTTTAGGTCTTTTTTTATTAGTGGCAATTGGACAATATGATTATTTTTTTGTATGGCGTATGACGTCACAGGTGGTATGCGCAAAATTAACGAAATTGGAGCCGCTATCGATCATACCTTGTTTTCTTTGTACCATGGCTGAGTACCACACCACGAACACACGATGACGCGTTATGGCGGCTAATGTCAAGTTACGAGGCAACCTGTTTAATTTAGGCATTAATTTAGGCCCGTATTTTAATAACCTTGTTCCAGGATGAGCTTACTTCTTATAGGAATCCGTAAATGAAGAAATAAAGAGAGAAAGAACTGTGGCGTATTTTCTATAAGGTGGATTCTTTTGATTCCTCTAGTTCATTCTGAAGAAGCTCACCTCTACACACCCTCTACATCTCTGGGATGTATCAGTTCATTGTTCATTTGAACTATTTTAACTTTTGTCTTTTGTCCCTGGTAGTTGTAGTTGTCAAAGTGCTGTCAGGAGTAGTGAGTAGTGAGTAGTGAGTACTGTCAGAAAAGTCAGAGGAAAAGTCGATTTTGTTGTTGTTGGTGTGAGTTGACAATTTTAATAATTTTTTTATGAGACTTAAAGTAATTGTTAAAAATGAGTGACCAGGATGAAAAACTGCAACAGTTCATTGCGATAACGGGATCAAATTCAGATAGAGCAAAATTCTTTTTAGAGTCGGCAGCTTGGGATGTTGAGGTTAAATTTTTTTTTTGCTCTGCTAAATGATTAAAATCTTATTTGATGTTCTAGATTGCGATGTCTCGTTATTACGAAACAGAGGGTGACGATTTAGGTGACGATTCCCCTTCAATAGTGGCGCCTGAAACACCAAGCCCTGTAGTTACCCCAAATAGGCCCCAGCCAAAAAAGTCATCAAATTTTGCCACCATTAACACCCTGACTACATCAAGTGATGAGGAAGAAGGCCAGGCATACTATGCTGGGGGTTCAGAACACAGCGGTCAGCAAGTCTTAGGCCCGCCAAAGAAAAAAGATATTGTAGCTGATATGTTCAAGTCCGTTCAGGAGTAAGTATATAGTGTCAATTTATTATATACAAGTAATTTTCTGCAAAATTTTTTCAAGACATGGTGTAGAGGTATTGGAACCAGGTGCTGCGAGTTCAAGTGGTGGTCAAGCCTTTAAAGGAACAGGTTACAAATTGGGACAAGATAATACTAGTTCTGAGGTAGTACCTGGATTTCAAGAACCACCTAGACCTCAAGAAGTTACTCTTAGGTAGGTAATTAGGATATTCTATCAAATATAATCATAGATATTCTAATTATATAGATTATGGCAAAATGGCTTCAGTATAGATGATGGGGCACTAAGAGAATATGGGGATCCATCCAATAAAGACTTCTTGGATAGTATTAGAAGAGGAGAAATACCACAAGAGTTGAGACAGGGTAATACAGAAGTATGTGCTAGCATTTAGTATTTTTGGTTTTCATAAATAAAACTACATATCTATATACAGATACATTTAGCAATGGAGGATCATAGAATGGAACAGTACCAAAAACCAAAGACTAAAGTTAAGCCATTTCAAGGACAAGGGTATACTCTTGGTAGTCCAGCCCCTGCAGTAGTGGGTAAATATATAAGTTGTAGACCTCTAAAATTGTATTTAAACTGTTTACTGTTTTAAAGGAGCATGCACAAATGAAGATAAATCTGCAAATGAAGCACGAGCTAAAGAAATTTTAAAGATGGACGCTACCAGACCAACCACAAGGTATTAATTGAATTTCCTTTTTGAATATCTATTTCTAATATTTTTTAATTTGCAGTTTACAAATTCGCTTAGCTGATGGTTCAAGATTAGTAGGCCAGTTTAACCAGGATCATACTATAGCACAAATCAGACAATACATTACTGCTGCAAGACCCCAGTATGAAATGCAGACTTTCAATTTACTTTCAACATATCCATCAAAAATTCTGGATGACTCTCAAACTTTAAAGGAAGCAGGTCTTCTCAATGCTGCTATAATGCAAAAACTAACTTAAATTCCCATTTATAATCCAATTATTTTGAGAGAATGTTAATGTAATGTATTGAATAAATATAATATAATTGTCTTTAGTTTAGCTGTTTAAAACTTTGTATAATCAGTTTGAATTAAACTGCTTTGGTATTGATTATTCTTGAATCTTGATTTATTTAACATAAAGTACATACAATTATTTATAAATCTCAAAGAACAGTTGACATAATTGTAGTCTTTGACATAATTTACCGTTCTTGATAAATCTCTATAGATAAACAGTAGCTATGTAGATACGCGATAACGAGAAAAAAAAAACAGGAAAAAACTCCTTTGAATAAAAATATATCTTTTTATACAATTTTAATGTGTGGTGTGTGGCGCAATTTTAATCAAGATTATAACATAGATAAACGAAACAAGTTTAGATTGGAAAGTGCCCATAAGGACAATGTAAACACTATTTGGCGCTATTCTAGCAACGGTCGCGACCCAAAACTTTTGAAAATTTCGGAGCGGTTCGGCTTTTTCCGGAATTATATCGCCAAATATTGTTTATTCAAATTTATTATTATTTTCGTTTAATTTTATAAAATAAAATACAGTGTGTTGCATACAAGAAACTTTATTTTATATAAGGACGCATGTATGAAATACCTATGAAACATTGGAAACCGACGTTATGCCACGATCCACGATGGTTTTTGCAGTTCACAGTTCACAGCACAGCTTTTTAAGTTTTTAATGCCACTTTTTCACAATTATCACCGGTTGGAGTAAATAAAACTTGAATTAAACTCACAAGATAGCAATTATTACTTTGAAAATGGACGCTATAAACACTTTTCGGAATTTCTTTAATGAGAGCGGTTTAGATTTTGAAAGAATATTTTTAAAGATTCTGACTTTGAAGAGAAAATTATTTCTGTTTTTGTTTGCCGTTGTTCTTAGCGACCTTATAGCGACCGCTATAGCAGCGCCAGATCGCGTATAACGGTCGCGACCCAAAATAATTTCGCGACCTAAAATTTTTACGGGCTTTCCAATCTAAACTTGGATTATAATGAAAAGCATGAAAAGAGCGTTTGTCAAAATCAGCTGATATCTGTGCTGATATTTTGAAAAAAGTGACGTTTAATATTAAAGAGATTTTCATAAATTATTACTATTTATAATGCCTGGATTAAATATTGAGAATCTTAAAACGCCAAACAAAGAAGAAAATTCAAACAACACAGTACCTGGGCCCCAGGAAGCCCCCCGTGAGATCACTCAAACCGACAGGTTGAATAAAAGGCTTTTGGAGGCCTTTTTGCTAATTATCAATCGAAGCAACCCAACTGGCGAGAAGATCAATTCTGATTCGGATGAAGAACAAGATTTCGATGATTAAGCTTATTTAATTAAGTTATTTTAACCATTATATTAACATTTACATACCAACTTTCGCATAACCTAAGATTTTGTCACATTTGGCGGGAATATAACAGAAATAACAGAGGAGTAGAGTGGCCTTATTAATTATAAACATTGATTATTTTTGAAGAAATAGTAGAGAAAAATGTCCTCTGATGAAGAACTTACCGCGCAGGAAGTTATTTCAGATACAGAAAACGAAGTAGTTCAAATAGGTGATCAAGACAATGAACAACAAACTGAGGAAGTTAACAGGGATGGAGCGGATGAGGAAAATACCCAAAGAATTGTCGTAAAACCTAAAAGAGTTGTTAGAAATCCTCAGCCAAAGCTAAATGAGGAAACATTGAAAGGTAATGATTTTTAAAGAGTTTCTAAAGTCACTGAATGTGTTTTGTTGTAGGTCTAAGAGGTATCGCGGCTATTCAGAGCTATTTTGATAGAGTTAAGTTTAAAGGAAAAGGATACGAAGACCAAGATTTAAATGTTATTATGAAAACCTATGAATATTGGTGCCACAGGTTGTTTCCAAAGTTTCCATTTGACACTTGCATAGAGAGACTCGAAAAATTAGGGACTAAAAGGGCTACACAGGTAACTATTAGATTACTAATACAGGATCATTGTGCTGAAACGTTCCATTATAAGGGTGTGTTTAAGCACAAATGAGAACTTTCCCTATAAACTTTTTTTTACATTTTTAAAGTGATCCTTTATTTTTAAGTCTGAATCTAGGTCTGAATAGCATAAGCTTTCTGCAAAAAATAGGATTTTCTCTATACAGGGTGACAATTTGAAAACAAACAGTATTTAATATTACCCCTACAAATGATTATACAAAGTATGAAAATTAGGCGAAATATGTCAATTTACATATCAAGGGGGACAATGATTTTGAGGCATTTGTTGTCGTGTTACTTTCAACCCTTTGACCCCCAGGGCACCTACCTCTAAAATTTTAAATGGCAACCCCTATTTGTTCTACCTATTTTATAAAATTCTCAAAAAAATAATGCAGTTTATGTAGAATTCTATAAGAAACACAAAAATGGTAAAAAATAGGGGTTGCTATTTAAAATTTTAGTGGTAGGTGCCCTGGGGGTCAAGGGGTTGAAAGTAACACGACAACAAATGCCTCAAAAATTGTCCCCCTTGATATGTAAATTGGCGTGTTTCGCCAAAAATGTTTATACTATCATCGGTAGAGGCAATATTAAATACTGTTCGTTTTCAAATTGTCACTTGTCAATTGTATTTGTTATAGGTTATGGTTAAAGTCCGATGTCTGGTTAATGTCGACATTAACATGTTAATGTTCGGGTTAGGTTATGTTTTTGGTTGTCTCGTTTTGTTGTGTGTTATTCTCGAGATTAACCGGGTAATGTCGACATTAACCGGACATCGGACCTTAACCGTAATAGGTATATATACATTTAGCAAGTGATAAGGTGATAACACCCTTCTTTGTTACAGAAATTTGGGGATTCCCCAGTATATTATAACTTTCTTATTTCCTGTTTTCGATAGTTCCTATCTAGGATAAATTGTACGCATCTTTCGATAGCGTAAATTTCTGCCTGAAGGATACTGGGGTAGGTGCCCATTGGTTCAGAGTATTTAGTTTTCGGTCTAAATACTCCTATCCCTGCTTTGGTTTTGGAAGCACAGTATACCATGTTATGGTATGGTCTTTTACGAGTACATGCTGAGTAAGCGTTTCTTGTTTCCAGTCTTTTTATTACTCAATACTACAGTGAGGTGTTTCTCAAAGTTGTATATTCTTGGTATGTCATCCACTGGGAGTTGGAGAAGTGGAATTTTCTTTTTGATGGTGTTCTAAGCCTCTGACCTGAAAAATCGCAGTACTGTTTCCGTCAATGACCATTCTAATATTGTCGCGTTGGCATAACTACCGACGACAATGTGCAGTGGTGTTAGGTATAGAATGACCCAGTGCCTTCTATTAAAAGATCAGCCTACGGGCGAGATTTATGACGTCACGCTAGTTAGATATAACGGATTAATAAATATGTTGTAGAATACATGGAAAACATAATTATTCCTCAGATTTTTGGTTTGTATTTTAAAAATGATATAGTTTAAATGAAATATACATAATATACAGTTAATAACTACAACATATATACCTATTTATAGTAATAAATACTTTGGCAAATAAACTATGAACCATACAAATGCAGCAAATGTTTTACAATGTACAAATAATGTATAGGTACATACAAGATAATGGGTAAAATGTAAATATATTTTAAATTTTGGGGTTTGAAAATCGATCTAATTTAACAAAAAACATTTAATATCTACTAACAGTGATGTATTATTATTTGCATTCACAAAATTTATATGTATATTTTGCAAGTATCAATGTTCGAAAAATTATATTTACAAATAATACAATATTATCTAAATAAAGGCGTCAGCGATGGCTATGAACGGAAGATCGCTGGCATTTTATATGTTAAATTATTCTAAAATTTTTGATTTTCTTGGGATTTTTAGGTTCGGGAAAAACGCTGATTAAGTTTTCATTTGGGTTTCATTATTTTATTTGGTTTTAAAAAAACGTTTTCGGCTAACTATAGCCTTCACAGTGTTGTGTCATATGAGAAAAATAGTGTCGAATATAATCCAAAAAATTACATATACAATATAATTCACACCTCATAATGTTTACTGCAATTAATAAACTAATATAAACTTATCAAAAGATGACCACATATTTTTTAAAATTATTATTCTTAACACTAAAATTATCTACATTGACTATGGAGTACGCAGTAAACATTATGTGCGTGGTGTGAATATTTTATATGCAATTTTTGGATTATATTCGACACTATTTTTTCATATGACACAACACTGATGGAGGCTATAATGTTAGCCGAACCGTTTTTTTTAAACCAAATAAAAATAATGAAAAACCAAATGAAAAATTAATCAGCGTTTTTCGAACCTAAATTCCAAGAAAATCAAAAATTTAGAATATTTAAAAACAAGGTTCAAGAATATCAAATTTTCCAAGATTGTAAAATTCTAGTTAATTATTTTATGTGTACAGTTATTTAGGGAATGTCATCGATGTTCATTTCCAAACCAACTAGATGCCGATTTTTTCGATGATACGGTATAATTCTTACGTAAAATGTAAATAACATTAGACCAATTAAAACAAAGAAATATGAATTTCTTAGTATTTTTAGTAACACCTTTATTCTTAAAACTTAATTTTGTATTATGCAAATATACCAATTTTATTGTTATTTTATTCATATTGTATTCAGCCATCACTTAAATATTTGATATTAATTTGGTATTATAAATAATCAATACTATTCATTAAAAATTACTGAACAAATATATGTTATGCTTAACATACATTATACCTATATTATCAAACAAAAACACATTCTTCTTTTAAACTGTATCAGTCTTATCTTTACAAAAATCTTTTTTAAAATTTGAACTCAAAATAATAATCTTTTTCATGATCTTTAATACACATATTCTTTATTTTTCCCTAGATCATAATACCTACTTACGTGTTTGAATCTATTGAAGCTGAACCAGCAACACTTGGAGTGGAGATTCCACAATATGAATAAAATAAACATAATTGTCCAGTTTTTATTAATACCATCATGGGAGAATATTATTTTTAAATTTATTAAAGATATTTTCAATAAAATTCTCTTGATTTATAACTCGTACCCACTTTCTTGCTCTTCCGGACACTTTTTAGGCTGCCTAGTATAATAACTATCCTTAGTAACTATCCTTTCCACCAGGAACACAACAAAGATGAGGCATAGCACCAATAACACACTCCACTTAAGCTTTATTGATGAATTGTTAGAGTCTTAAAAACACACACAAAATCACGATAAGTAAAAATGTATGGGCACTTTTAGGTTAAATCACTTGCACAACGTGTAATTTTTAAAATTTCTATTTTTTTATGCAGAAACCGAGAGTGACCATATATCTGGTAGTAGTTTATGTCACTTCAACACCAAAATAATTAGTTTTTTGCACTACAATAATAAATAATACCAAAAATCAAAGAGTTAAAACCAAAAATCAACCGACAAAATATGAAACGGAATCTAACCCAATATCTAAGTATGTACAGCTGATGAAGTAAACAAAAGTCCGCCCGTAGGCTGATCTTTTAATAGAAGGCACTGAATGACCTCCATTGCTGCTGTTGGACATGTTTCATGGCACCTGTGATGCAGATACATGCCAGTCTCTGTACTTTGCACAGGTTCTGCCTTGCTGTACGTTGCTCTAGTTTTGTGTACCAAGCAACTGTTCCATAGGTAATCATGGGTCTTACTATCATGGTAGAGATCTAGCGCAAAATGTTAGGGGCGCAGCCCCACCTATTTCCCGCCAGTCTTCTGCATATCATGAGAGCCTTTGTGGCTTTGCTAGTAATGTTCTTAATGTGCCTGTTCCAGAGAAGTTTACTATCTAGGATTATTCCCAGATATTTCACTTCCTGTGATGGCAATATTTCCTTTCTATCTAGATATGGATTTTTTTCAAGTTTTTCAAATTTCGCTTTTTGGTGAATGACACTACCGCGGTTTTATCTGAGTTGATGCTCAGCCCGACAGTCCTGCACCATCTCTCAGCGATGCGGAGTCCCCTTTGTATAATATCACAGGATCACACATGATACCTTCATGTTTCCCCCGTGCATCATGACTGTTATCTGCATACCCTATGCAGTGTATTCCTGCTAGAGTTAATTCTTCTAGTAGTTCATCCACTACCAAGCTCCACAGTAGGGGGGAGGTCACTTCACCTTGTGGAGTTCCTTGCGTTGTTTGAACAACTACAGTTTTGATACCTATCTCAGCCTCTGCTGTTCGTGTTGAGAGCATTTTCCAAAACCAGCGAATTATCGTACTGTACCCTCTTGTTTCCAGAGATCGCTTGACTACCTTGTGAGGTATATTGTCAAACGCCCCTGCAATGTCTAAGAAGGCACAAAGTGCTGTTTCTTTGCTATCCAGGTTTGCCTGAATTAGCTTGGTTAACTGGTACAGAGCAGTTTCTGTGCATGCTCTAACACATGGTTTAACCTTTAGATGATTTACTCTAATATGGTTGTCTAGTTTTGCCCTTCTAATCTCCTTATTATACTCAAATAATTTCTCGGTGTAGAACTATTTGCCGCTGGGTTTGGCTCTGTTGAAGAGTCGTCGGACCTCCGATCTAAGATTGGTCAGCTTTTTGTTCCACCAGAACTTTTTTGTATGACCTTACTTGTGGGGCAACTAGATTCATATGCATCCAGTATTGCACCACTGACTTCCCTTGCGTACCATTCTAGATACAGCTGGTTCCTAGCCCTACCTGCATCTATTTGGTCCAGGTTGTCTACGAGATTGGTGCGGTATAGCAATCCAAGATTTCCAATCGGTTCCTCTTGGATTCCTTCGAATTTCTGTTTGGAGTATGATTCCTCCTAATTTGAAATCGATGATTCTGTGATCTGATAGGGAAGGTTCCGTTGAGACCCTCCAATCTTTCACGTAATTAGTTACACTAGCACTCCCGATTGTTAAATTGTCACAAACGTTGGGGTGTTACGTATATTGAGAACTTCAAGATTGTATGCTAAAAGGAAATCTAGTAAACACTCACCTCTAGTGGTAGTATTAGTGCTTCCCCATACTTCATTGTGCGTATTGGAGTCACATCCCAATCCGATTGGACCTGATACCGGTACTGTCCCGAATCTATAATAGAGGATATACCCCTCTTCCTCTGTTGCCTCCTTGGATTTGAGGTCAATTCCTATTGTGAGGACCTGACCATGGTCCCCCTCCTTCGAGTTGAGGACTCGCCAGCTTGATGTACTTACATTCTCGTTCTGAGCTTGGAGAAGGTATAGCGGGTAGGTGGTCTCTTTCCCCTTGCTTCTTGTCAGAAAGACCGTGATGGTTGTCCCTTTAGGGATGTTTTCTCCCCTCATAGCAACCAGTCCCGGCCCCTGCCAATTTTTAAGCTTAGGTGCCATCTCAACCAACCAATCCGACGATTTTTTCCTCCACCAACCAATCCGCCACAATCTATGAGGATCATGCCCACCCTAAAGTTCCCAGTATCCCCGCAAAGCGCAGCTGACCCACTCTTTGTGGATCGTTGCGTCGCAATCCGCTCGCTACTACTTCGTCCAGTATCAAGTGTAAGCACATGAATGAATACCTATTCTCAATTTTATTCTTATTTTTTTCTAAAAATTATCATTTTTCTTGACAATAATAAGAAAAAAACAAGAAAATTCAGAATTAAATTAAAAAAATATATTTACTGATTATTTTCCAACTTATTTCCTTTGCGCTAATTAGTTTTAATATTTGCTCGTTTATTCTTGCTCATTGAAAAGTTTATCAAAATATTATATTAATATTCTCTAAATCTTATTTATTACTTATCGTTTATTGTTTTAGACCCACATAAAAAGAATCCGATATGATCTATTGATAGAAGAAGACAAACCTATCCTAGATGATTCAGATGAAGAACATAATGTCGATGGTTTTATTGATGTTCGACCAGAACAGATAAACCAACAAACTAATGATTCATTTGATAAACTTTTAGTAAGTTCTAATAGACCCCAAATGGAATTATCTGAAGACCAGTTAGAGAGAATGAGACTCAACAAAGAAAAAGCTGCAGAATTGAGAAGACAAAGATTACAACTTATCCAAGATAAGGCAAGTGAAAATTTAGTTGGATCCAATCAGTTACCAAGTACAAGTTATGAACAAGCTGAAATGAGTGATTTAAATGGCAATTCTGCTAGTAATAATGATGAAAATAGTGATGGTTTTTATGCAAGTCAAAATAGTGAAAGTAGTTACTCAAAAGAAATGGCACATATCGAGGATTTCATGGAATTCAATCATGAAAGTACTGTTAAAGGTAAAAGCAATGTTACCGGAAATAAAGTCAAGAAAACCTCTTTGAAAAAAGGCAATAAAATAAATAGTCATGCAGAAAATAACAATAGTTTAACTGAGGATTATTCTATTTCAACTGATGGTCACCATGAAGAAGTTTCTAGAGATGAACTTTCTTTAGAACGAGCAAATGAATTACACATTAGTAATGAAGATAATACACGTTTAAATAATGAATTTTCTAATGCAGTTCAAATAGCAACTTCTATGGAGCTGTGTATAGATGAAAGTTCGAGAGAAAATGAGACATTTGTTGATGTTCAAGTAGATAGTAGGGTTTTAAAAGAATCATTCAGTAATAATATACAAAACTCAGAAGAATTAAGCGCAACTGGTACAAGAAGGTCGAAAAAAAGGGTTAATGTCCTCGATAGTGATGAGGATTAAAATTATTATGTATTGTAAAATGTATTTAGTTTATTCATATTTTTTAAATTTTGTTGCCAAATCTAACAAAATCTTATGTTATGTGATTACGTTCTTTCTAATAATACGAATTGTCATTTGTATTTGTTGTTTATTTTAATGAATTGATATATAGATTTCGGCTATTTTAAAAATTGCCCCTAATTCCATTATAGTCTATTTTTGACAATAAGTTTTCAGATAAAAGTTGTAGATAATCACATCCTTAATGAGATTTTGTTCTCCGTTTTTTTCTAAAGCCTATCATTTTTGACATATGACACAAATATATGTTTTTTTAAATGGAAACCATATAGTAGACCATGACTTCATAAAAAGCATAATTTTTAAGCTTTTCAGCGATATAAGCGATATTTTTTTTTTCGAAAAATTACTGAGTTAATAATATATTTATTGACTAATTTCTTATTAGTCAATATATATTGTTCTTATTCTGTTATGCTCAATGGTTATGATTTATAACTTATAAAAAGACAAAATATTTTAATAAACGGTTCTTTACAATTTCCATTACACAAACTAAAACATTAGTTTGTGCTAAAACTTAAAAAAATAATATAACTACACACACTTTTTAACTACCCTGTACACATATAAAACTAAAACTAAAAAATAACTCAAAATTACTATAAAAGAGAAACTTTAAAATGTAAATAAAACTATAAAAATAAGTTTGCACAAAGCAAATAGTAGAGGAAAGAATCAAATATGGAATAGTATTCCTAATATGGATTACTGCCATTTCTCGGTAATAAATATGCCTAATATCAAAAGACAGTGATTTTTAATCCCTTTCTATTATTATACTCACTTGCAAAAAATATTTTTATTATTTATTTTTATAAGGAGCGACTGAGTTGTTGCGAACTACACTTCAAAGCCCTCCTAAAATATCTGCATTGGTTACTGCATGGCAGATACCAAAACAGCTGCTTCGCGCCACTGCCGCCACTCTCAGAGCGCTTGCACCTTGCACACACACCGGCAAAATCGGAGCCGGTGCCGGCACCGGCATAGCCCGCGGTTACACTGGACGCGTGTCCATGCGTTTATTATAAGTACGAGCTCTGACGGAATTTACTCGCACGACTATTTTATTACATTAGATGTGGTTACATTAAGGTGCGTATTCATTATCCGCACGAACGAACGAACGAACGAATGTTCGCTAGTGGTATGGACGGGGACCGCACGAGAAGACCGGAGGCATTTGTTGGCGAACGCCTTTGATGTACCGACTCGAAACGGATGGTCGAACGAACGAACGGCCGCATGCGTTCGGTCCCCGTCTAAAGGTGCGTATTCATTATCCGAACGAACGAACGAACGAATGAAAGTAGATATATTTAGACGGGGACCGAACGCATGCGGCCGTTCGTTCGTTCGTTTGCTCGACCATCCGTTTCGAGTCGGTACATCAAAAGCGTTCGCCAACAAATGCCTCCGGTCTTCTCGTGCGGTTCTATCGTACGGTCCCCGTCCATACCACTAGCGAAAAATTCGTTCGTTCGTTCGTTCGTTCGTGCGGATAATGAATACGCACCTTAAATATACCGCACTTTCATTCGTTCGTTCGTTCGTTCGTTCGTTTGGATAATGAATACGCACCTTTAGATGCGCGTTCATGGTGTCATCTGTATCGCGTTTGTCAAAACAAGCGCCACTACTTTGATGCTGTGTGAGGATATAATGTTAAAATAATTACTGATGAAAAGAATAAAATATTGGGTAAATTATTTATATACAAGAAAAGGAGAAGAAAAGGAATATGTAAAACATTTAGTGAATTAAGGCAGCAACCGGTCAAATTTTTTGAATATCTTAGAATATCTCCATCAACATTAATATATCCCAAATAAAATTAAACCTGGTATTCAACAATATTCAAATGTATTGGGATCAGAGAAAAAATATTCGAACGCTCGGACGTGCACGTATTAAAAAAACAAACCAGTTTGTTTTCATCCGACCAACGGAAATTGACGTACGTGCACGGACGCGCGAACTCCGATGCAATGTAACCGCCTTCGTAGATACCTTTTGTTTGTTTTTTGCTGCGTGCACGTCCGTGCACGTACGACCAAAAAAACGCGCGAACACGCATCCAATGTAACCACGGGCTTATTTGCACACGTTCTGACTAGTGATGGGAAAACCGATTAATTTCAATAATCGAGTACTCGAGTTTCAAGCGATTGCAATAACCGAGTGATCGCTCGAGCGAAATATCACTCGTATTTAAAAATACGGTTTTCACCTTCATCCGTCGCGCGTCCCTTTGTTAGTAAGTACTCGTTAACGCCAAGCAGTAAGTTGCGTGCGCAGGGAACATATTGTTACGTTTTTCGTCGGTTCCGTGTGGATAGAAAGTCACAATTTATTTAAACACTATTTATTTAACACTAATTAACAAAAACAATAACGATAAAAGACTTATAGAACTATTTACAAACGATTTATAACTAAGAATCTATTTTGAATTTTAGCGCGTCAACTGTATATTTATAACTGCCCTCTCTAGGCCACAGCCGCCGGCTTTTATACCTACAGTTAAAGTTTACTAGAATAGTCCATAGATCGTTAGGTGCATAGAGAAGGTTTTCGAATGTTCTCGTGTGTACTACTCCATTCCAGTGGGACTCGATCCTTTTCGAATCTTCGAATGAAGCATTGCGGTGTCTATGCGATGTTAAGGTCATCCGAGGGCGGGCCATATTGTTAGGTTAGGTCGAGTCCACACCGGTCCGCAACACTGCCCCCTTCTTAGGTACATGCTCGTCCCGAGATTATACGGTGAATGAAGGTATTTGCAAAGCTGGCCCCTGGTACATTGCGAAGTCTGGTAGAAATAGCAGTCTACAGTTTTCTCTCCCGATCTCAGCTTTGGGTTGTAGCAGCAAACGAGGATCTCGATTCCCGTAAATCTGAACAAGACTTCAATCATGTTCCGGATTGTACGCCAACTCAAACCATCGAGTCCACACGCCAGCTTCGGAATGGCTAATCGTGCAATGTTGTTGTTTAGCAGGGCTTCTCTCAGTTCAATCAGGGTCTTCCATAGATTGAGATAAGTCGGCTTACTCGGGGACCATTCCTTGGTGACCAGGTAGAAGATGTGCCTTGCTTGACCATGTGCATTGTCGGTTAGCCTCAAGACGCTTCCAACCTCTGGATCCTGTCGGCGTAGTTCTCCGACACGCCCAAACTTCTCATTGAACGTCGCAGCGATTCCTCTGGACATCCGCAAATCTCGAGCCACACAATGAGCGAGCGAATAATCAGGAGGCACGGAAAAGAGGTCTCGTTGATCTTCTTTGGTTACACCATAGCGAGCCTTCTCACTGCTGTTGTATCGGGCCATGAAATCGTCAAAGGACATCTCCGAATCAGGGGGATCAAAGCTGCAGGTTCTCACGGTCCCAGCACGATCTTCTATTTCGCCTTGGTAGGGGCTCAAACGGTTGAAATGGACTACCCTCGGTTTTCCTTTTGGCAATTTTCTGATACGGTATACGACGTCATTAATTCTATCCATGACTTCGTATGGCCCTTCCCACGAGGATTGTAGCTTCGGAGATAACCCACGACGTCTCTGCGGGTTATATAGCCACACCAACTTCCCTGGTTGGTATCCTCCATGCTCAGCTTGAATGTCGTAGTGTTCCTTCATTCGGTCACTAGCACTTTGAATATTTAGGCGGACTCTCTGATGAATGTCGTCCATCCTTTGACGTAGTGTGTGGACATAATCTTCTCCGGCGACTTCTTCTCCCGGTCGGCAACCAAATTTCAGATCACAGGGTAGGCGCACTTCCCGTCCCATAACGATGCTGGCTGGAGTTTGCCCTGTAGATTCTTGGACGGATGAACGGTAGGCCAACAGGAACAGGTGAAGAAATTTGTCCCAGTCTCTTTGGTGGTCAGAGACTACTTTGGCCAGATAACGGTTGATAGTTCTGTTCATGCGTTCAACCATCCCATCGGATTGTGGATGTAGAGCAGTCGTCCTGGTCTTGCGGATGTTCAGGACTTCACAGACGCCTTGGAACAGATTGGACTCAAAGTTTCTTCCCTGATCTGAATGAAGCTCCATGGGAACACCAAACCTGCAGATCCATTCTTTAACAAGGGCATCAGCAATCGTGGACGCTTCTTGATTTGGCAACGCGTAGGCCTCGACCCATTTGCTGAAGTAATCCATTACTACCACAATGTATTTGTTGCCATCGTTCGTCTCCGGGAAAGGACCAGCCACGTCGATCGCTATTCGTTCGAAGGGACTACCAACATTGTACTGGCGCATAGGGGCTTTACCACGCTTTTGTGGCCCATTGATGGCTGCTCAAATGTCACATTTCTTACACCAGGCCCTCACATCTTCTTTGCAGTTCACCCAGTAGAACCGTTCACGCAGCTTGCCAAGTGTCTTGGTAACACCAAGATGTCCACCGCTGGTTCCATTGTGAACTTCTTGTCCAAGACTTCTGGGACTCTCTTCTTTGGAATGACGATCTGCCTTCTCTCTTCTTGTCCCTCCGGTCTCTCGATCACACGGCGAAGTAGTCCGTTATCTATTACCAAGGAATTCCACTGAGCCCAGTACGACTTTACGTTCGGCGAATATCTGCAAACTTCTTCCCACGTTGGTCTTTGGCCTGCGTTTTTCCAGTTAATTACTAAACCTAATTCTGGGTCACTGGTTTGGTCATTTGCAAGATCTTCGGGTTGCCAACTATCATTAACCACAGTTGTTCTTAGTAGTTTCACTTCTTTCTCTTCAGCTCGGGAACAATGCTTACAATCCTTAGCGCAAGGTCTTCTGGAAAGTGCGTCGGAATTTCGATGGATTGTCCCAGCTCGATGTTCTGTGTCGAAGTCAAATTCTTGTAATCGTTCAATCCATCTAGCTACCTGCCCTTCAGGATTCTTAAACTGCAACAGCCATTTCAAAGCAGCATGGTCTGTTCTTAACAAGAACTTTCTTCCATAGAGATACTTGTAGAAGTGTTCCACTGCTTTAACTACAGCTAGTAATTCTCGTCTGGTTACACAGTAGTTCCTTTCCGGTTTCGACAAGGTCTTA